GCATATTGATTTAATGGTAAAATTTCAAAAATATATTTTTTCATGCATTTTTTTTTTGTGATACTTAATAATACCATTCAGCGGTATGATTTCCATCTATAACCCTGAAGTTTACAGTTCTTTAATTTATTTAATTCTGAACTGATTTTGCGTCGCAATTGCTATGGAAGTTAACCAAAGCGTAATTTATTTGCAGAGTAATTAATTTTTGAAGAATCATGGTGCAATCGCTTGATAATTTAGAGCGATAACATATTTGTTTTCGAAATACATGCATGAGGACTCCGCGCAACAGCTATCATTATTTGATAACTACATTGAAATAATATACTGTGAGCCAGGTTATACAAGCTGAAAGACTTATGATCATACAGCAAAGGCTTAATCGGCCGTCAAGCCTAAAATAAAATATTTTTGTCTGAAAATAGCGCGAGACATATACTATTCAGTTTAACCTCAATGTGACAATAACATAAGCAAAAATGGACGTTTACCGGTTACACATGATATCACGGCTGTCGGTTTCTGAGCAGTAACTACATAGTTGTAAGCCATCGTGTTCTTCACTGTTCACACATCAATTTTTCACAATTTATCCTTTAAATAAAAACTTTATTTAGCTAACTGCAAACAATTCGCCGATTTGGTCGCCACCACTAGTGTTGTGCCTGTCAAAGAGAATAGAGTTTCCAGTGTTTAGTCCATAGAGTCTTAGTTTAGTCGAAATAATTATGATGATTAACTAGAATGTCTATGATCGAAATAGTGAAAATACTCGTCTAAAATATATGAAATCTGTACTAAATTTGAAAACACTTGCGAAAATTTCAAATACCATGGAACAATAGCCTTAGATATTTAAAAATGACGTAAATTAAAATTCTTTTATGTGGAATATCCCACGAATATACAGTCTCAGACACTGGTCTCAGAGCAAACCACAGAGTACATTTCTATATTTTTTTTTTGAATTATCGGTGTGATTGTAGGCCAAGGGCGTTGAAATTTCAACGTTCATGAGTCTTGCTATATTTTTTATTAATTTTTGGAAACTCTGTGTTACTCGGGTGGGCAATAACGGAAATAATGTCACCTTTGTGATGCCGACAGTAGACCAAGCTAATCTTCCGCTCTCTAGGTGTTCCTATACTATACTGTAGTTTTTTTTATTGAACGTTACTAACATTGGATAACATAATAAGTTATTTTTAATGCAGTTATGTATATCTCTCCCAACTCTTTGGACCATATAATTTTTACTGCATTACAAATTCTACTGTAATAGAGGGTAAAGAAAACAAAGATTGTTGAAATCTTAAAACTAAATGTTTATTATTGTATACTTTATAATGTTTATATTTTGTACTATATTTACAGAAAATAGATTTAATAATATAATTATTAGAATCAGTCTTGATGACGATCGCTGGGCGGCACACTTTCGAACAGGACTTGAGTCAGGAATGTGAATTTTCCTGTAAAATAAGAAAACATGAACATGAGAAAAACACGAAAACAAGAATATTATATGTTTGTTCGAGCAGATGGATTAGAGAGACAGTTACAGAGTTACTTCATACAGAACACGCGAAAATCGGATCTACAACACCCAACAATAAAACAGTAATATACCAATATTTTAGAGAAAATCTGCTGTTCATCACATATACTTACTTAAAATAGCAGTCGGAGTTTTCTTATAATATACGAATACAGTGTAGACGGTGGCGCCCATCACTATGAAGCCCACAGCCATTAAATACTTGAGTGACGGGTCGTGTACAATTGGCAACACTGAGAGGAATATTGCCACTATCAACACAAAACAAGGCACAATAGTCGGTACTCTATAGGGTCGTGGTTTAGTTGCTTGTGTCTTTCGTAGAACTAATAAAGCGACCATAGCAAGTCCATAGAAGAACCACAGGAACCAACTGGCGAACTCTATTAAAGTCTTAATGTTGCCAACTGTTATAAATATTGTTGTTAGTATAGCCTGTAACAAAAACAAAATTCATTAGGATAAAGTTAGTTTTATTTATTGTAGGCTATTTAATGTAGGTTCATTTTAAAGTGCTGATTGGACTGTGTGAAAAAGCACTTGTGCCAGATAAAGGTACTGGGACCACAAGGGATCCTAATATGGACTAATCATAACCTAGTTTTATAACATAACATAAAATCATAACCTAACATCACGCCTTTTATCCTCGAAGGGGTAGACAGAGGTGTACATTACGGCACTTAATGCCACTGTACAATGTAAAACCTATTTTTCACTATTTATGTTATGAGTCCCATGTAATAGGGGGTGAGCCTATTGCCATATACCGGGCACAATTCCAGACTCCGTGCTACTACTGAGTGTTATTCTTTTTTTAAAAAGCCCAGTAATACTTTGCCCGACCCGGGGATCGAACCCGAGACCCCTTGCCCGGCAGTCGCAATTGCGACCAACGAGGCAGTCTAGTTTTATGTTTTAATAATTATGATACTCACTTGGAATGCTACTGCAGGGGCAGGTGTCAGTCTCTTTACATTGACGTAGGAGAACACTTCTAACATGTGGCCTCCTCGTGCAGCCGTGTAACATACTCTGAAATAACATTAAGTTTAATTTTCATTCCAATTCCAGATTCTATTTGTAAGTATAGACAACAAGAATATCTCCGGATTTCAACACATTCGGATACAGTTAAATTTCTTACCTGGTAACACCAAACTGCACACTCATAGCACAACCAAAGGTTGCTATGGCAACGCCGAGCGGTATGAGAAAACTGGCTGGTCCAAGTACCCTCGTCCCAAAGGCCACGGCCACGGCTGGTACTGACGTCATATCCGCGTAACTTAGTACTGTCATGTAGGCTACGTTCATGAAAACGTAGAGTGCTGTTATAAGGGGCACCGCGATTGATATACTGAGAGGTACATTACTGAAAAAAAAAGAAAATATTATCAGCACTACATAGTACGAAAAAAATGTTCTTTCAACTGTTTGGCCCTACGTATGATTAGATCTTTAAAACTACGTAACGTAATTGGGATCCCGAACGTACGGCGCGTCGCGTTCCGCGCGCGCCTCAATGCGCCATCAGACCACCACAGATGGGGCCCAACAGGGCCGATGCCGATTCGGAGTCGCGGAGAACCTAACGGGTAACTGGGGCTCCGGCTCGACGTGCAGGAGAAGGAACGGGGTGGTTTTTAGTCAGTAAGAGTCTGACACTCCCTCCCGCCTCACCCAGGCGGGAGCAGTCATTCGATGATTTCCCCCATTAAAAAAAAAAACAAAAAAGTAATTGGGATGATAACAGGTTATGAAAATTAGAAATCTAATATATCGTCGAAAGTATTCGTTTCCGAAAATAAAAAATACGTGTCTAATGATTTAAAATAATCTACCAGACGGACATTAAAATAAAAAATTAGGCATCTACCCTTTTAAAGCGTGCCATTTGCAGGTCAAAGCTAGTTACAGAAATATCAATCATGACATGGGACTCTAGATAGTCGGTGTTATAAGTAATATGTATGTGCACCACTGTCTACCCCTTCGGAGATTAAATACCGTGACGTTGTCACAATCACTTAGCAACAATCATTATTTCTAATTATAATTAGGTACGCGACTAATCCGGTTATCAAACAGTAGCGTCTTATCAATCATTTTTGACAATAAATCCGGAATCAACTACTCGGCAGATTACCTACTTAAATGGAACTAATTTTTGCGCGCAACTTCGTCTGTGGTTTTAAGTTAAAAAGCTTTCGTGGTATTCTAAAGTCCTAAACTAACTATTCCTGTATTGTGTAGTACGTACGTGTACTTGTACACCATTCCCTCTCTCCCCAATGGCAGACAACGCATTTAAAACACTCTAGTAATGCAGGTGACCATGGGCGACGCTAATTGCTTACCATCCGGTGATAAGTCTGCTCAGTTGGCAGAGAAAGCATATAATACTCACACTCCAGGGTTAATGATCTCCTCAGTGACAACAGTAACACTGTTCCATCCGTCATAAGCCCATAGTCCAGAGTAGAGTGCTAGGGCAATGCCTCCCGGGCTAAAGGAGCTGCCTTCGAAACCTTTGTTCAAGTGTTCTGTGTTACCTGCAAATTGAAAAATGTTTGCATTAGATTCAATGACTTCAATGTTTGCAATAATAGTATTGTGGTCATGACAGAAAAGAAAACATCAGTCACCATCTCTAGTTCCCTACTCTTCCTGTGGCAAGCCTTTTTTTTTAAAGGGGGGAAAATCATCGAATGACTGCTCCCGCCTGGGTGAGGCGGGAGGGAGTGTCAGACTCTTACTGAATAAACACCACCCCGTTCCTTCTCCTGCACGTCGAGCCGGAGCCCCGGTTACCCGTTAGGTTCTCCGCGACAACTGTGGGAAGCCTTGGGAGCCAACTAAGAGCAAAAATAAACTTCACCGGGTAACGGCTACCTCTAAAACTCTTGAACTTATTAAACAGCAATATCCATCTCACCCGCCATGCGTGGGACTATGGTAACCACCTTTTATATCGCGCAAGTCAATTCCAATTTCAAGTTGTGGACTGTCAAAAGATGTTGTTGATGAAATACATTTATTTTTTAATTTTTTTTTCAGTTACCTTGACAAATCTCATAGATTCCTCCTCCAATGACGATGAGACAGGCGAACACTTTACACACTCCAAATATATTCTGTACTTTTACAAACAGCTTCACGCTAGTTATGTTTATGTATGTCATAATAACTGGAAAGAAAACAATTTCATTAGATTATGAAAATATAATAGTTCATTAGCAAAATAGAAATCATAGTAAAGGGCAAATATTGAACGCAATAGTGTGTGCGGGTCACTGTAGTCATTTCTTATAATTCCTGCACTTATAATTTTCTATATTCTATTATAAACCATTGTTCATATTTCTACAATTATATATGTTTTTTTCTGGGATATTAGCAATGTCTATTCAATCTTTAAATAAATAAAACCACAATGTCCAAACTTTAACAATATTTATTAAAATAAACTTAACACTAAATTACACAATATCTTTCTTTAGTCTTATTGGTCCTTAGTTCATTGGCAACCATATTGGCACTACTTCAACATAATCACATTTTGTTATAAAGTGCATCAATATGATAATTTCACTTCCAACTTATTGTATGGATTGACAGTAACTATTTTCATATCTTTCAGTAACTCTATTATCTGAAATGTCTCTGCAGTAACTGGAATGTATCCATTTGATTCTTCATTCAGATGCTCCGCCATTAGTTGCTGTAAAATAACAATTTTATAAGAACACATATAGAAAGACAAAGTGTTTGAAAGAGACATCCGGCGTCAAGGATTTTAGACTAGCTCCTTGATCACTGGTTTCCTGCTTAGATAACGACCACAATGTGACATTCTTTGTACAAGAAGTTAATAAACCGGAAGTAAATTAATTTTGTAATTATGTCTCATAGTAAGACCCAATTTGTGTAGTTTTAAATTATAGATTTTATATCAATAACAAATAGCTGAAATTCAGAGTTTCTTTAACACACCAAACAGAATACATCAGAGAAAAGCAACTTTATTTTGAAATGGTATTTTGAAAAGGGAACTTCGTGCACACCACACGGTATATTACTACTGTGTCTAATACTCTGTGGTTTATGAGCTTTATATTTTGATTAGCAAGTAAATGTTTTTTATTTATAACATTATATCTAATAACACTTACTCCCATAGTCTCAATGATCAAACTATCACAGTTAGGAAACAGTGAGTGTATAAGGTCATGGAGCTCATTCTTCATCACCTGGAACCTCTCCTTAGCTCTGTGAATATGTTCGGGTTTGACTTCAGACTTGTTCAGCATTGGACGGGATTTTGCATCTTGTGTAATTTTTATTAAGGTTTGTAATCTAAAAACAGAAAATTCAAGTTATAAGACAATAATTCTATAAACTAAAATGATATAACTGTAATATTGTTTTGTTGTATATCAAAGTATAATCCAGAATATAATATTGATAGGAATGATGTTTACTTCCAGGTATTTTATGATGTAAACAGGTGATTAAACTTTTGTTAGGAACTAAAATCATCCAAAAAGTAAATATTTAATCTTACTACAAAAAAAAAGCTTACCTGTTAATCTCAGCATCAAGATCGTGTATTGAGCCCCGTACAAAAGCTGTGTACTCTTCTACCTGGCCAGTTTTATCTCTTATCTCTTTCAGAAACTGGCTGGTAAGAAGGTTATCGTCAGCTGTGATCGGAGTATTTGAATTTTGAATCCCAGTGCCTAAACCTTCGATGTAACAAAGCGCTTTTTCGTTGATTTGTTCAAAGTCTATATTCGGAGCGTCCAAAGGTGAATTATCAATAATATTCCACTCATGCTTGCAGCGTGCTTGTATTTCTTTTATTTCACGTTTTACAGCGTCTCTTGTTTCTTTATTTCGGTCAGAAGACATCCTAAAAACAAGTTGTTTGTTTGGGTTTTATTAGTACAAAAGTTATTTCAATATTTTAAACTTTTCATAGAATTATATGGGCTTTACTTACTTTACCTTATGTTAATTTTATTCACTCGTAATTATTCACAGGTTGAAGTAATTAAAACGTACAACTGGATAAAATATCGCAATTCTACAAACACAAAATAACGCGAACGACCGGTGTTGTTTAAAATTTGACAGTAAGAGACTTTGACACTTCAATGACGTTAGGGGCGTCGTAGTGATGCGCGCCGGGATGGTTTAGTGTAATCGATTATATTTTCCTAATCGATACGAGAAGTTAATGTAGCAATTAATTCAAATAAAAATTATACTTACATAATGCAGATATAGATGCTAATTTGATAGCAATTTCCTTATAATCTGGGTCTATATTTGGTGTAAAAGGTTGAATTGCGTATTCGGCAAATGTCATAACGATTATGGCAACTTCTGCGGGTCTCAAAATAACTACATAAATCCATGCACATATAAATGATGGCAATGGTCCCCAAAATTTGTGTATACCTCCAAACGCTTCTTGGAAATACGAGTATTCAGCTCCGGATTTACCAACTACAGTTCCTAGTTCAGCAAATGATAAAGCTCCTGAAAAACATATTGGGTGATCATCATAGATTATGATTATTATCAAATTAAAATTATTCCGTAGAAAATGAAATAGGTGTCTTACCTACACCCACCTAATAAGGATATTATTCCGGAAACTGTCCATATTATTAGACATAGGGCTACTGATCCTGAGTGTTCGAGTGCTGATGATGGTGACACAAAAATTCCAGATCCAATCATTACACCAAGTATCAAGTTGACTGCGGAGAACAAGCCTAGTTCTCTTTTTAGTTTGACAGTACTTCCACATGCAGTTGCCATTCCATTGCCAGTTTCATTCTTTTCCATCAGCTCTGCGTCTTTTTCCGTCATTTTGTTTACCTATAACAATAAAATGTTAATTAGATATTAAATTTATAGTTAACTCCTATCGCGATAATGGTCGTAGACTTTAACATTAATTGCTCGAGTAAAATAAAGGTTCTCGTAATTATACGCGCTTGTTTATTTTTATATTTTGCTAAAACTTCCTCTCTTTGAACCTAGCAATTACGTCAGGTCCGTGTCAATTGCGATAATAAGTTTTGACGAGTAGATAACTAAGTAATTTGCGAAACAAGAACGAAACTATTATTTTGTCAGTGTTGTAGTATTACATGTATAATAGTATGTCAAGGGCATAAGGTCATTCGCTCCATGTTTTGTTAATTGACTCTTTCGCTCTTCTCGTATTGCGGCGCCTTCAAGTGTTCATGCTGTAGGCTATTCAGCAAATGATTGCTACTAAACGTTGCATAATAAACTCGTAAGAGCTAACGGATTATTGGTACAGGACTACCACAAAAACTAACGAGCAATAGCATTCATCACAATAGTCTGATATTTCGCCAGAAGTAGGTAATGACCAATCAGTTGCAGTTCAAGGAGCAATTGTTTAAGAAAACGTTTTCACGAAGTCATAAATAATATTTTATTTTGAACATAGACAGGAAAATGTTTGCAAGAATCATTTTAGTTACAGATTTTTATTGACGACCATTGTGTTTAAATTGGCAAATCGCATCGTAATAACTGCAATCATTTGGTTAAACGAGTACTTAAAGACCGCCTCCTTCCATGTATGACAAATCAGCCGAGTATTAGACATGAATGGGCATGAGCAAGGCCTATTGTGTGCAGTCGTAAGGATGTAATCTTGTTAACGGTGAATGAACTTGGCCCTCACGTGGTCAGTGTAAAGGATTGCGTACCTACCAGAGAGGTCGCATGGGAACATTTTTGACCTCATCGCTGGACCAAGGAAGGTGAACTGCTGAACCCACTTAATCACTTATACCAATCAAGATAATGTGACATTCGTTGACTTTATGACTGAGTGGCTACAAGAGATCAATTTGGGATCTTATTATGTCTTGTTTACCGGCTTTTTATCTTTTTTTACAATATCTATAAATTATTGTAACTCTTGACAAAATACTATAAGATACTCATTGATACTTTGAAATATTGCTTGACAATAATACCTTCTCACTGTGGTTCATAAACAAAAGGCACCCAACGGTGACAAAAAATATTGACGCATTTTGCTCTGTGGCATTTTGTTTAAGAAAAATTACTAAAGTACCTACTTACATGCTTTTTATTAAACTATCATCGTACGTAAACAAGCGATTATTTTAATAGTTATTAAAGACAGTCTGTCTACATAAAGAATTTTCAGATAAATAATAATAATAAATTAATCAATAACTGTCTTCGTCTCGTTTCAATTCATTCATAAATGCAGTCTGTTCTGTTATAACCGATACCGATAGGAACGAACATAAAATAACAAAATTACATTGTATTGTATCCTTCTACGCACAACCGATAATAAACGATTGTCTATTAATTTTTGTTCAAACGGTGAAGTGTTGATTACAACAGGCAATACCGATTCTTATCAACCGATTTATCGATTAGAGATCCGGGAACCGATTCCTAATTGAAATAGAATGAAGATGGTATTGAAAGAACTGATGACTCCGATATTATCTAAAATTGACCTCGTCATCGTATCTGAGCATTACTCGTGAGAATTAATTTATTCCTAATCACTGGTCACTGGGGTTATGAACTTTGGACATGCGACATTATGAGTTTTCCTTATAGAGATTGTTAATACTTTATCAGACTACTGCTATTACTTATTAATTTTATATATACTAATATACTAATATTATAAAGCTGAAGTTTGTTTTTTTTGTTTGTTTGTTTAAACGCGCTAATCTCTGAAACTACTGATTCGAATTGAATAATTCTTTTTGTATTGGATAGTCCATTTATCAAGGAAGGCTATAAAACATCTCGCTACGACCAATAGGATCCGAGCAGAGCGGGTGAAACCGCGCGCAAGTAGCTAGTGTTATATGTTTGTGATTAGGGTAAACAGAAATAAAAAAGGAATTCTATCGGGGTATTTCCTAAGTAAAATATTTACCTATCGCTGAAGAAGATGAACAAAAAGCACCCAATCATAATTTTTACCTACAATAAAACTGTTTACTGTTTTTGATGTAAAAAAATTTATTACATTTGAAAACAAGTTTAATTGCTCTCTTGCTACCTAGAATGATAACACATTTTTTTGATAAAAACAATCTTTGCTGACGACTGGGGATTATTTACAATTTTTGTTATCTTCGTCATGAGAACTTTAATTTATTAAGAGTATGCCTTGTATTTTGTAATCAATGCAATGAATGGAAACTAGTTTTTATCAATCAATACGTTAATGAAATATTAGAAAATCGAATATCCAGATAACAAGCATTATGAATTATTTATTGACTGCCTCGTTGGCTGCGTGGTCGCAAGTGCGACTGCTGGATATGGGGTCTCAGGTTAGATATCCCGGGTAGGGCAAAGTACATTGAGTTTTTAAAGAATTTTCAGTATTAGCACGGAGTCTGGAATTGTGCCCGGTTAGACTCACCCTTAAAGTGAGTGTTACATTGTACAGCGGCATTAAGTGCCGTAGTGTACACCTCTGCCGATCCCTTCGGGGATAAAAGGCGTTATGTTATGTTATGTTATTGATAGACTTGCCGCCGAAGCGATAGTAATATTGTATGAAAGTTGGAGCACTGTGGGTACAGTAGGTATGCTGTGCACGATCATAAGACCTAACTTGGTCAGTTGAACAGGAGAAGTACCTATAATGAATTACTATCAAATATCATCGTGTAGCTATATCGCGAATCCAACTATCTATGTTTGATGTTGTTTCAGTAAATTGATGTTAATTCTGATTGGATTGATGAATGACAAGGCAGTATGAAAAGTCGTGATCACTTTATTATGCTCTTGCTTTGCCTATTTATTTATAGATTGTTGGTTATACTATTTTAGTATAGAAGAGTAAACAGACTGTGTAAATACACAGTTTCAGAACAAATGTTCAACCTGAGGTGCGAACCCGCGATCTCTTTCCAGGAAGTCTCGACATGGATAGCGATTGAAAACAATCGCTAAGTCTAATTAACAGATTTTCAATTTTATAATTGGACTTGTTTGCAAATGTTATAAAAAATCTAGCAATCGATGATTGCCATTAACTCGCAAGCATTTGTATTCAGTGATAACTCTACCAAACTTTTCAGCCAGTTTGTATTTTGTTTTTTTTTTTATTATGGTTCACCAACAATTGTACACACTAGATCAAATATTAGGTTACATGCAATGCAATAGATACATACTGTAGTGTTACAATCATTTAAAGGTAAACACCACATGCATAAAAAGGTTGTAAGACAAGAGTAGTTATGTCTAATGCTACTTCCAAAACATTATTTACAAATCCTAAACCAGAAGTTCGATCATAAACAACTGTCCTTCCCACTGCCACATTCCCCACTTAATATGCAGCAGTAAATTCCGCTGTAATAATTTCATTGCAAGTATTAAGTCATATAATTCTATTTCTACGTTTGACCGATAACAAGCTCTATGTAACAGCTGTGTAGTGTGTAGCATGTATGAATCAACTTATTCCCCGTGAAAACAATGGCCGAAACATTGACTGAATTAGTAGGTTAATCAAATGCTTTAGTTGTGTTCAAACATCTGTTTCGTATGTTGTACGAATGAGGTAAAAATATTTAAACAGATTTTGATACTGAACTGCGTAATTATAGTAATATTTCTATAGATTTGTTACAATAGTAGTTAAAAACTTGTTTGTAGGTGCTTAATTGCCAGACATCGACAGTTGAACTTTTTTTTTATTGCATAAGCCGGTAAACGAGCAGACGGATCACCTGATGGTAAGCAATCGGCGTCGTCCATGGACACCTGAAAGTTGGAATTGGAACACTAGAGGCGTTACAAGTGCGTTACCAACTTTTTGAGGATTAGGAGTTTGAGGATCGTTGGGAATTCAGGGATTGGGGAGATTGGGGAAGGGGAGGGTAATTGGGCCTCCGGTAACCTCACTCACACGACGAAACACAACGCAAGCGTTGTTTCACGTCGGTTTTCTGTGAGGCCGTGGTATCACTCCGGTCGAGCCGGCCCATTCGTGCCGAAGCATGGCTCTCCCACACTTACAATAAGCAACTGTATTTTACTTGCGATTATTTACTTGATCGGATATTGTATGGTCCTTAAGAAAAGCTCCTTAAACTGTCAAACACCAAGCGGTCACCGGTGACCGCAACCTATTGTTCTATAAT